AATTCCCTGGTATCCATTGCCCTTTTCAGGAACACAACCTGAACATATACCAGGACACACTGTAACTGTTACTCTGTGTAGCAATGGCTAACAAGCTGTACAAGCTACTAAAATAGCCAGGAATATAAGTGTGTTTCCTACTTGGAGATGTTTAGATTGCGTGTTTATTGCAGACTTAATGTTTGTGAGGGGAATAGTAGTTGTTAAATAGAGCAGATGGCTAGCAGTGTTACTATCTTTCTGGAGGCATGTCTAGTTATTTACAGCTCAAATGTTGGTTTAAAAACAAAGGCAACTGTTTTGTCATAATAGTACAGAATGCATTTTTGTATTCTAAGTCATTGATGTATCATAAAAGCAAGTTCTGAACTCATAAAGGAATGAGCTAAAAGACCATTAAGCAGGTTAAAAACAGATGATTCAAAATTTAAAGTTTAAAATTAAGCTCCTTTTTAGTGAGCTTAACTTTAAAAGCTAGACAACTTTAAACACTGGTTATGAACAGTCACAGTAACCATTGGTTATGAGTTAAGATTCCTAAACACATGCTTGAATTAGAGTTAAAAAGTACATTTAACTGTAGGCCTACACCTGCTTCTGCTGAATGGATAGTGATGTTTGAATGGGTAGCTATTCAGTATTTCATTTGCTCCATCGTTTAGTGTATAGTTCCATGACCATTAAAACCCTGCTCTGAATATAGTAATTTATTTATGGGTTTTTTAATGGCAGTGCTTCACAAATATTAATCTTCCTAACACCCTTATGAGGTAAGGTGATATCCCTATTTTACAGATGGAGATTTTAGGCATAGAGAGATTAAAGTCAAGTGTCCAGTAAGTTGGATGCCCAATTTGAGATGCCATGGGCCTGATATTTTCCAGAGTATTCAGCATTTCATAATACTTTATATGTTCAGAGCAGAGCTCCAATGGATTTCAGTTGAAGCTGAGTGCTCAGCATTTCTGCACAGGTGTCTAGAGGTGATCTCTCAGAAAATGAAGAACATACAGTTCGTGACCACTGGTGAAAAGTTTAATTTGTGACTTGCCCAACATCACATAGGAACTCTGGCAGAGACATGGATAGAATCCAGATTTCCTGGGTAGCATTCTGTTGTTTTAACCAGGTGATCAGCCTTTGTTCTTCCTGCAGTCCCTTGCTTCATTTACTACACACCTTTCAGTATGCACAGCAAATGAGGTAGGGATTCAACAGACAACACTGTCATTCACTATACAACACTGATCCATTCCCTGGGCACTGGCTATCCTTTGCACTGAATGAGTCAGGGGTTCCGTGGGAAAAAAATAGTTTGTGATTTGGTAATTAAAGCCTATAGCATAATGAATACACATAATATTACTCCTGAGGGAAATTTAAAATTCTGTGCACAATATTTTAAAATTCTGCAAGTTTTCTCAATAAATAAATGCAGAGGCTTCAGCATGGCAGTGGGGAGCACAGGCCACTGGCTGTACAAAAGTGGAAGATCACCCTGCAATCTCCCCACCCCCGGGACACAGACTCAGTGGTGAGGCTGCACCCAACCCTGACGCAGCATAGGGCCTGCGACTGCCCCAGAAACACCCTGGGGGCCTGCGCCAGGCACACCAGGTGTGGGGCAGGCAGGCTTAACAAGGCAGGTTCCAAGTGTGGAGGGGCTCAAGGTGGGGGGGATTAGGTTGTGGGTTGAGAGGATTCTGTGTGGCACAATCTGGGTGCAGGCAGCTCAGTGTGGGGTCTAGGTGTGGGGGGATCTGGATGCACAGAAGCTCATTGTGGGAGGGGGTTGCAGGTGCAGAGGCAATAGGACTCTGCAGGGGTTCCAGGTGAAAGTGGGGCTCAGCAGAGGGGTCTGGGTGCTGGGGGGTTAGGGGTCTGGGTGCAGCTAGTTGGGTGTCCATGGTGTTGGGGTCTAGATGTGGGGGCTCAGGGTGGTGTGGGGGTGGAGCTCATCAGGGTGGGGGTTTGATTGTAGGGAGCTTAATGGGGGGTGGTCTGGGTGCAGAGGGGCTCTAGATGCAGCAGTTGAGGTTCAGTGGGGTGGGGTTCGGGTATGGAGGGCTAGGGGGGTTCTGGGTGTATGGGGTGAGGTTTGGTGGGGGTGGGTCTGACAGTCCCAGACGCTCCTTGCAGGGGAAGTCCTGTCCTGTCCTGCCTCCAGCTCAGCCCTGCAGTGATTTACCTCTCCGCTCTCTTCTCCGGGTGCCTGAAACAATGTACCTGCGCAGCTAGGGAGTGATGCTTGACTGCTCTTGCAGCTTCCCTTCACTTCCCTGTCAGTCATTTTTTTGTGGGGGACATGAATTCTGCGCACGTGCAGTGGTGCAGAATTTTCCCAGGAGCAACATAAAGAAGAATTAAGGTTGCCCAGGCAACCGTTTTTTAATGTGGCTTTTAATGTAATTTTTCTATTTTTCTTCTTCAAACAAACTGGGGAAAAAATTACATCACGTGGAATTATATTGATCCTTCACATAAGTCATCACCAGGGTTCAGATCTTTAGAACCACAACATAGCCTTCTACCACTTGAAGTAAGGTAGTAGCTGGTAGCGGAAAGTGGCTGTTCATCATCTATGTGGCCTACTCACTAGAGAATGACAAAACATTTTGCCAGTGGTTTTACAGATATTTGGTGACAGTAGAGGAATGTGGAGACTCCGGGTTCCTGGTTTCACTTCCGGGTTCTGGAGCAGTGTATCTTCTAGGGGTTATGGAATCCTGTCCCCCACCTGAAACTTCATCCCTTCTATCCCTGTCCTCTCCAGCTTGTCTTAGGGCTTGTCTTCACTATCAGGGTAAATTGACCTAAGTTACACTATTTCATCTATGTGAAGAACGTAGGACATAGTGGTGTCTTCACTGCGCTGCGTCGACAGGAGGCACCCTCCGGTCAACTTACCTTACTCTTTTCTGGGAGCTGGAGTACCAGAGTTGACCAGAGAGTGCTCTGCCATCAATTGCAGCAGCGTCAGTCTTCCCAGTAGTGAAGACAAGCCCTCAGTCCTCATCCCTCTAATCTCCCTTGTCTTCCTCCTTTTTCCCCTCCTGCAAGCTTCCAGTTCTTCTGCATTTGAGTTAGACTAACTTCTTTTCCATGCTGTTGGGGCCTCAGCAGTCTGATCAGTCAGTCTCCCTGCTTTCAGTTCTGGTGCTTGACGCCTCAGCAATACCAAGCTTCCGGGAGGAGCAATTCCAGGGAAAAGTCTAGCTCAGCCCTGTGGTCCTGGGAGAGACCATACACTGTTGCTCTTGGGGATGGTACACATGCAATCTGGTTGACACATAGGAACTTTATGGCAGTGGAGTATGCTCAGTGCAGATGGAATCTTTGGTGAATTTAGCTGTCAAGCTGCAACAAGCCTCTGAGCACGTGTGAACTGCTTGGGTGGTTTGTGAAAAAGCGCATACCTGGAGCTAGGACAACTCCCCTTTGCCAAATTTCTAGTCTCAGTTCCAAAGTATGGAGGCTCTGATCTTTTTAGTGAAAAGGTTGTAAGAATCTTTTAAGAATGGCAAAATGTATTTTCCCCTAAATTTGTTCTCTGACATGGCAAAATCATTTCTACCAAAACTCCTCCCAGTCATCTTCCACACTCCACCCTAGAAAAATCAGCCAGAGACAGATAGCTAGCTTGCAGAATCTCAGCTTGAATGGTTAGATAGGTAATGTTACTGGCAGCTGAAAACAGGGTCTTACCATTGAAGCTGTTAGGCAGTGTTAACTAGAGACTACCAGTGCTACCTATGATGTCATAATATTTTTAGTATGTCTCCATTTTTTTTTACATTCTAATGTTGTTGTTGTTTGACTGCTGCACACGAAGATGTCTTCACTTAATGCCTAACAAACATTAACACAGGTACCCTCAGAACATTGCTGGGACACAAGGGGTGGAGGATAGAAGAGCTGATATGTTCTGTCTTACGGTTGGGGAAATTGACGGAGGTTTGTCTTGTCACATAGGAAGTCATAGGTAGAGCCAGGAATAGAACCCTGATCAGCTGGTTCCCAGTTCATTTGTTCGCCACAGGCCAGCCTGCCCTGTCTCTTAGCTATACTTTCCTCTGTGTAAAAGTCTGATCTTTGCCTTAAAGTCAATATACCACTAATTTCAGATTCTAGTGCTCAGCTCAGTCTTGATACTGAGTACAAGAATCAGAGTTCTGTCAGCACACTGTTTCATCAACCCCATGTATACTAGCAGTTAACAAACCAGCATCTTCCTGCTCCTCCATACGAATTTTGCTGAAGGAGATTAGCAATAGCATGATGGTACACCAGCATCAGAATCGCAAGACTTTTTTTGTGGTTACTTTTGAAATGTTACATTTGTTTCCTTTTTTTAACATAAACTAAAGTGCAGTAAACAGAAATATTACTGTACTCTAGTATGTTTTTATTTTGTTTAAAAAAGTTATTATCAAAGCATTTATTTCAAACAAATTAGAAAAGCATTCTTCCACTAGTATATAAAAATATTAGTTGCCAAAGTTACTCCTTTTGCAAAGTTGATGGTATAGTTTAGACAGCTGTATTTTAATTTACTCCTTGTAATGTATAACCAAATCATAATGCTAATATAAAATTTCTTCTCCTTGTAGATTTGTGATATTGAATTAGCATTCTGCAGCATGCAATCGGATATGAATTTTACAACTATATTCCCTGCTGGGCAGCATAGTGACATTTATGAGATAGTTCCCTGGATGTAATTAAGGCAGTGTATTTTCAGTTTCCTTGCTTGTTAATATGATCCTAATTGATGGCTTGATTTGTTAATGGGGAGTTGTACTGAGTTTTAGAACTGGGAGCTGTAAGCTTTAGAAATGGCTCTTAAAAGTTCTAATTATTGCAGAATTCTTAAAAAAATTCTTAAAAAAAAAAACCTGGTCCAAATGGTATAACCTTGCTGGTTATACCTTGCTTATAAAATGTCTTGAAACAATCTAAAATATAAAAATTTTCTTGATATTTATTAATAATCTTTGCAGGAAACATGAAAGAAAAATGAAACAGGATGAGATACGCAAGAAATATGGTATGTATGCTAATCTTACTGTAATATCTGAACAAAGTCTTTTCTTCCCTGTTCACACTATTTAAATAGACATATTCCCATCAGATTGGTAATGAATACGGACCCTTTCACGTTAGGATTTTGAGTCCAGGTTAATAGTGATGAAAAGTCACTACTATTCGACCGTTCAGTAGCCTGAGTAAAGTAGACTGTCTGGCCTTAGTCCAGTTTCATGTGGGTGATAATTAGAATCATTATTAGCATTCACAGCAGGAAAACAAGGATTAAATGGAGATTTTGGAGCCTGCAGTACTTTCATTCCTGCTGTTAGTTGTTCCAAAATAGATTTGTGGCACAGTAGTGAGAATAGGGAAGGATGAGGGAGCTTTGCACTACCATTGCCTGTGTTATGCCTCTTACTGGAGGTCTTCATTATTCAGAGCTGTCAATCTTGGCCCTTTTTTGATTTGGTTTGTTCGTGGGGCTACTGATGCCATGTATTCAAATATGCATGATAAAAAGATATACTGTGTTTTTTATTATGTAAATTAAAAAGATAGTGATTCTGTATTTAGAGCTCTGACCAGCCACTCAAAACCATTTTAATTTCCAGTCTCTTGTTAAACTGATTGACAGGAGCTGGGAATGTCTTCATCATTCTGCACCTAGTCCACTGGCATATGCAGGAGTGTTTTAGTTGAGCACTAAAGGGATTTTCTTGGATAAAGGAAGCTTGCAATAACATGAGCTCCTTAGTGAACCTTAAGAGTAGGAGAAGGGAAAATTGTTACAGAAACTCTAATTTTTAAGTGTGCATATAATTCACAAATTTTGATTTTGTAGCAGTGTATAACATCACTGACCTTGGCCTTCAAACTTGTGTTCCGTTTTAAAATGTTTGATTGAGTTATATGGACGTAAATAAAAAAAGAATTAGTCAGTGCATTTTGTTTTAAGATTAATATTACCCCCCCCTCCCCCCGCTTGTATTTATGCAGACTTGATGGGTTCAGTCCTGTGGGGTACTGAGCTTCCTGTAATATCCAAAAAAGCACTCAGCACTGAAGTCAGTGGGACTGCTCAAGTGCTTGAAGTTGAGCATTTGCTTAAATGCTTTGCTGGATCTTGTCAGAATGCTTAGTGCCTTTTAGGATTGAGCCCTGTAATCATTTGCATTCTGGCTATAAATCTACCAAGCTCGCTTGCAGATGCATTCTTCAATCACATGCATGTCAGTGTGTCACCCTGCTCCCACTGAAGTCAATAGTTCTGTCTCTGACTTCAGTGGGAGTACATTCCAGCCCCCAGTGTGCAAGTATTAGTCTTGACTTCTAATAAAATTATTAGATGTACCCATGTTTGCACCCAACTTGTTTACAGGGCAGTTGCCACATAATAGTTTAACAATTAGACTTGGAAACTTCAAAAGTTAACTTTTTTATAAAACGGATTTATTTGCAAGGTAAGTTTCATCTGTTGCATCTTCAGACGACACTTTATATTATCAATCCAAATGCAATTTCTCATAATTAATAGATTTTTCAATAGAGGCACCAAACTGGGTTATAAAGATGTGTGTGGTTGAATAGGAAATAGTTGAAAGGAGAGATGTTATACCTTTTTTTTTTTAAATCCTCAAGCAACATCAAATGACTCCAAATAGATGAAACTCTTATTCTGAAATATTAGTCCAAAAGTTAGTACACTGAATAAAGTACAAATGCTAATTCTCATCTTTGAATATGATTATAAAAATAATTAAATGAGACATGATACAGGTCCTCAGCACAGCCTTGAATCTCCTTGATCTGTCTTCATTTTTAGCTGTCTAGTAAATACAGTCTGATAAAAATTGCTGCAGAAAATTATGGAGGCACTAGATTATTTTACGCTGCCTCTTACACATTGCAGAGGGGATTCACTGTTAAGTAGGCAAAGACGAGTGGCAGAATGACAATGGCTTTGTTAACCTGACTCTGTAAATTAAGATGATCATGCCTGAAATGTCAGCCCTTGGTTGGCTTTAAGGGAATGCCTTTTTCCCATTTCACCCACCAGCTTTTCTTATCCCATTTAAATGGTAATTACACATTTATAATGCATTGCAAGTGTCGCTCACTTCAGCCATAGTCCTTTGGGAGCACTGGAAGCAATAGAGCTTTAGTAATGGGGAATATTCATTTTGAATTGTTTTTGTTGCAAAATTTGTCACTATTTTTCATTTGCTCGCATATATGAATGCAGTATGATTATTCAAATTATACGTTGATGGTTTAACAACCTTTAAAATTGAATTTAGAGTATTTTCCAGCTTGTGTAATGTACAAAGAAACTATGATTTAATTGCCCCCATATTTGCTGCTATTGTACATTTGATATAGCATCAGTAAGATGCTGCTTTACTGTCTGTACTTCTGGATTTTTGCTTGGTGATAGTGGAAGAGGCCTATCTCTCCAAGATGATAAAGAATGTCCTTTGTCTTCAGTTACACATGATGATTCCCCTGCATGATCTGGGGATTCCACACTCCTTGTTTCCTCTTAAATTCTGTAAAGACACTTGATAGTCATTCTAATGGTGCATAATCCTATTTCTGTACTTTGATTTTACATAAAACATTTATGTTTAAAAGTTTTTCACAAGAAATAGTTATACTGGCCTAGATGGGTATATTTTACTTTGACCTTCTGTAGTGTTCTGAATGCAAAACAGTTGAATCTCTTCTAAGTCATTAGTTTAAAATTTTTGTAATACTTATTTTTATTAGCTTGTAACTTAAGAGTTGAGAGCAAGTTGACTATTTTGAAGTTGAAATATAATATGAAATTTAAGGAAGAAAACCTGTGTTTAATGGGGGAGATGGAGCAATCTGCTTGTGGTTTTTACAAGCCTGTTTCCTCATGACCAAGCTCAGAAGTGACCTGAGTCAGCCCTTATACTGGGCTTCAGGAGACATGTCTAACAAGTTTGTCCTCTGAACTTCAAAGTCCAAACCAAAGGTTGGGTTTTCACACCTACATCAAAAGGAAAACCACCACAAGGAGAGAAGTTCCTTGTGCCTAGCTCAAGACAGTGGGTGAGCTCTACCTGAATTCAACTATCTGACTTTCAGCTCCAGATCCTTCCACTTTTGAACCACAACATCCAAGCTGTAGCAGCTGGCTCTAGCCTGTCACCACACCTAAAATTTTGCCCATCCTCTTATTGGTGGTTCCCCAGATCCTTTTTGCCCACCATCACATATGTCAAGTCTCCTTCTCCACTAAGAGACAATACAAGCAACTCACTGCTGTCTTCTGGTCTCTGTTTCTCGTGATGATCTCAGTCTGCATTCTCCGATAAGAAAAGGAAGAAACTAAAAATGTTGGTGTATGAGATGTGGCAGGCATGGGTGGGATGAATAAAAACAAAGGGGAGGTTGGAAGCAAGGCATATAAGTAGGGCCCTACCAAATTCACAGACCATATTTCATGGTCATAGGATTTAAAAAACCTTAAATTTTACAGTTTCAGATATTTAAATCTGAAATGATCAGTGTTTCACAGTGCGGGGTCCCGACACGAAAACGGCTGGTGGGGCGGGGAGTTGTGGTATTGCCACCTCCATTGCTCTGAAGGCAGCGGTGCAGAAGGGAACAGCACCCTTCCTTTGTGCCAGCATCAGTAGCAGTAAGCCTGGCAACACCATACCACCCTTACTTCTGCGCTGCTGCTACTGACAACGCTGCCTTCGGAGCTGGGCTCCTGGCCAGCAGTCGCAGAGCTTCCTGCAGCTCGGGAGGTTCCTGGAGGTAGGTCTTATCCAGCCCCGGGATGCCCTTGCAGGGGACGAAGTCCGGCACATGGTAGGAGCCCCTGTCTGGGGCATCCCAGCCCTGCCCCTCCCCAGCTCCGGGCCCAGCGCTTGTGGAGGGGTGCAGGGAGTTACAAAGCACCCCATGACCACAGCGTCCTGGGCAGTCACCCACCGAAAGACCGGCCTTGCCCCCCAAAATGATGAATCCCCCCCCATGACATGCCACCCTCACTTCTGTGCTGCTGCTGGTGGCACTACTTTCAAAGCTGGTTCATGGCCAAAAGCTGCTGCTCTCCAGCCACTCGGCTCTGAAGGCAGCACGGAAGGAAGGAAGGAAGGAAGGCATATCATTTCCCCTATGCATTCCTAGTCTCCTTGAGGATAGGGTAAATGAAAATTCCCTCGCTCGTTTCAGGAGCCTTTGTTCTTGGTGCTGTGAAATTAAAATTTCTCCCTGTAATCAGGCAGGCTTGTGACCTGTAATACCCACACTGGACTGACCTCTAGGTTTAGGTCTGAAAATTTAGATACCCTAATATGTAGTATTAGGATAAAAGGAAACTCCTTGAAATTAAAACAAGTGAAAACTAGTTAAAAATATTAATAATTTGTGGAAATTGCACTAAAGGATATTAAGCCTAATAGTTTAGTAAAACTAAAACAAATATCACTATGAAAAGCATCTGCAGTAATGCTAGGTAGGACAAAATTACGTATGCTATAAAGTATGAGGACTAACAGTCTAAATGATCAGTGGCTGTGGTAAGAAGGATACTTCCCCTGTGCAGTGTTGTATGGTTAAGTGCATTATAGGAGTTTCATACCTTCCTTTGAAGAATTTGGATTTGGCACTCTTGGAGACAGAATACCACCTCTATTCATTCTTGATGGCAGTGGTGACTGGAGCTATTCTGTGCTGCTTTTAGAATGATCATGTAAAGTATGGTATTTTAAACCAATCTTATGAAAGGCAGGTGTTAATTAGAACTTCGCCAGGCAAGGTTTAACACAGAGAAATAAAATAAAGAAAATGTGTGAATTCCTTTCAGGGGGAAAAATAAGTTTTCACAGTGTTCATTTTTAGTTGCAGCAATTGTCACATCTAGATTCCCGCTGGTTAGGGCAACTAGTCAAGATGGGAACCTTTTTGATTAGCATAAGATTCTTTTTTTATGAAGGCTTCAAAGGATTTTATTTTATCAGAAAGACCCTTTCATCCCAAAGTTCATTTTGTCACTGATTCTTTATTCACTGTAAGAAAAGGCTTTAGAAGTTAGGTTCTTGGAATTCTATGTGGAATCTAATCAGTGCAGAGAATTTATAGTCTACTTAGTGACCAGCGTAGTAAAATAAATGTTCATAGCTAGTATTGCTACTTTAATTTTATATAGCTAAATATTGTGTAAAGCTATCTAATTTATTTCTTTTTAAATAGCTACTGTCGAGACAAATTTATATCCAGAATGTAAAAAAAACCCAACCTCTCTACATTCAACATGTCATTGATTTAAGTTTTTTCATCTTTGCATAAGGATATGATGATATCCAATATTTACTCCCCTGCTTGAATTGCCAAGGATATACTATAGCATTGCACATTATTCTATTGACAGATGTTACATATAATAAAGTAAGTTGTTTACTGGAGTATAGAAACTTCTAGAGGGATTACTAGGGTGACCAGAAGTCCCGATATTTAGTTGTTTGTCCCGCGTCCCGACACCATTTGTCCCGATATTTTGCTTTGGCGGCACTCCAGGTTTGCTTTTTTTGTTTGTTTGTTTGGTTTTGCTTATGGCGGGAAAAAAACTTAGAGCCAGCCCTGGTGGGGGGATGAGCCTGTGGCTGCCCCCCCCCCCATATGTCCTGATATTTTGTTCTTGTCACCTGGTCACCCTAGGGATTGCTGATTATAAAAAAAAAAAAAAAATTGGTGCACTCCTTTTATAAAGGCACGCACATTACTTTGAGTGCGCGTATATGGGAGTACGTTTTACTGATTCTTTGTCAATCTGCCAAAATTGATGATGATTAACCCTGATGAATTAATGAAAATTCTGTTCCTCCTGAATCCAGTTTCTGAATATACATTATTGTGTAGTAAGATAAATCTGTCATATTTGTTCATGGAAAACGTCTGACAATAAAATAGACCTAAAAGATCGATATATTTTCTGATACTGGTTTAAGGATAGAAGGCTATAAAATAAGTTATACACAATAAGTATACAAGCTTGATCTTGGCTTTGTATAGGATTTAATCAAAGAATTTAAAAACATTTAGTTTTAATTCATAAATAGGGACATCCATCAAATTCACTAGATCTCCTACGTTCCTACCATTTATAAGAGACTGTTTTGTGTATTGCAAATAAAGCTCTGAATTATCAGTGATTCAAGTAATGTAATATATAGCTTTGAATCATATCAAAGATTCAAGTAATTGTAATATTTTATTTTACTAACCCCTATAAATCCTATTACAATGTAAACATCTGTACAGTGTAAATATTTATATATCTGAGAATTTTTGTGGTCCTGAAAATAAATGAGGTAAACACTCCTCTCCATGTACACATGTTGCCTCACAAATATGAATGAGTTACGTTGGGCGTTAGGGAACAAGTAGCCCTAAAGGAATGGTTGTTTTCATCACATTTCAGCCTACTGTAAATACCAAGCTTTCTACTGACAGGGCTTGAAAATATATTGGCTGTTAGCCAGTAAAACTGGCTAATATTGTCTTGCCTGGCAGTTGGATATCTTACTTGCTGCACTCTGCCTAAACTGTACCTGTGACCAGCGCTCCATGCCCCTGTTTGCTTGTATTCATTAAACAGAGCAGTGAATGCTAGGCACCTAGACATTGAAACGCACCCTCTCCACCTATTGAATAAAGATATGCTGGGACACAATGTAGAGGTTGGGAATGAATGGTACAATCTTCTTTCCTCTTCCCCTTTCTTGGTACTGACTGTTGTGAAGAGGGGAATTTAATCAAGAGCTTTACTTCATCAACCTATTTTCCTGCCACCTGCCCAAGACAAAGCAGCTAGGAAAGGTGGTGCTCCAGGTTTTCCAGGCATCACTTGCCAAAACCAATATGAAGGATAGCAAAAGTCCTTCTGCTCCTTCACAGCATGGGTCTGCCACTAGACTCCTCTGGGCCCCTTTATCCTCAGTATGCACTTCTGGCTAGTGGATGTTTAGTAAGTTTCTCAAGGTCTTGTTGAAAATTACCACTGTATGGAACAATGATTATTGCTGAACTAAGCTTTACAGAAGATGTTCACAGATACAATGTCTTTGCAGTGCTTTCTGTGGCAATATTCTGGTTACATTAAAAATCTTTGATAAAAGCACACACTGTGACCTGGTTTAGGTGATGCCTTTGTTCTTGTCCCCAGTAGTTTCAGTGAGTTTGCAGGTGATCTGTATTTGTCCTTAAAGGACATTGGCTGGTGTCACAGAACTACTGCATATCACTGATTGAACTTGACAGGTTTTTGCTCAAGAGTGAAACAGAATTAAGCCAGCATGATGACCTCCCACCTTTTTGAAAGGATGGTCCTCTTACCGCAAAGTTGAATTTATTGGCAGAGCAGTTTGAAACTGTTTCTGCTTAGCCATCTCCACACTTAGTCTTTGATAAAGTAAAGAATTGGCAAATAGCTACAGTATCCTTCACAAGTGAGAAATACTGTTTCTCCTTAATGACTTTTCATGAAAAAATCTTTCTCGCTTTTATGTTTTACTCTTCATGTAAAGTTCATGACTTTTGGTTGAGAAATAAAATGACTTAAGAGTTTATTTCTAATCTACTATAGATGAGTAGTTGTATCTTATACTTTAAGACTAGGGTCCATTTTTTAAAATTCTGTATTTGTACAGAACCTAGCAGAATTCCTGGTCTTTGACTAGGGCTCCTATACACTATGGTAATACAAATAATTAATAAATGCTGTCCTCTTTTCTCAGGTCTCCTTCAGGATTCTGATCATCCTTACAGTAGATTTGAGAATGAATGAAAACAGACACTGTTGAATCTCCTCATCGAAAACTAAGATTCCAGGATAAATGAGCACTTTTATATTGCTTTTCAGCGGTCTTCAGGCTTCTTTTTTTGCAGGTTTTCAGACAGTAAAAATAAATGCACAAATATTTACTAAAATATGTATTTTTAATCTGGCATATTTATCTTTTAGAACTAAATTTTTATAAACACTTTTGGTTTTCGAAATGTTTGCCAATTGTGCTCTCATTAAATGTGAAATGTCACCTTTCCACTTTTAATAAAGCTTTTCTTTGGAATTTGATTTAAATAGTTAACTTCCTAATCATGTATTTGAACTAATATCTTAGCTCACCTTTCTCTTTAAAAAAAAAAAAAAATCCTCTGTTCCCATGTTCCTAAATAAAGATTTTTTTTCTAAATCTGTTGTATGCACATAAGTGATGGCAAGAGTAACGGAAGCATTTGATACTGCAGAAGTGTGGTATTGGTATTGACAAGAAATAATTACAGCGTACAAATTCTTTAGTATCAAAATAGTATGTGAAGAGTTTTTTTAAAATGCAAAATGCGATTTTTTTTATTTATTTTTTTTGCATAGCATAATCTGATGTAATAGCCTGGTAATATATGAACATTTCTGTGTCCTTGGTGTGGAGCAAAAGTTTTGAGTTAGTAAAACGGGCACAAAATCTTTTTGAAACGCATGCAAAATCTTAATATACATTTGTGTGTAAGCTTGAGAGGTAATATCAGGCTGTTTTAAAAATCTTTCTTCCATGAACAATTCTCTAAATTAAAAATACTGCATGATGCCAAGATAGCATCAGTTTAACAGTATAATAATTTCATATTTGTTACCTTTGAGTTTTTGTGGGGAAATTTTCATAATACATTGAGTTCTGTCATCTTCCTGGATTGGTGGATTTTCATTTTTTTCTCTTCATACACAAATGCCTTCCTTGAGCATTTTAAATATGAAGGAGGAAAAAAGAATGAACCTCTGCATTCTGCATCATGTCAGCAAATTATTTAATGTGAATTTCCAATTCTATGTAGTTGGATTTCACTCTGTATTATCTTCTGCTGAATAAATTTACAGTACTGAAGGCCTTTGTATGTTGTTTTTATCAACCTTGCTGGAGGAGAACTCTTAACTAGACATCTTGAATTCAGCTATTCATTGTTTTTCTTCCTAAAGAGGGCTTCTGTGAATAAAAAGCATATTTAAGGAAATGATCAAATATAGGGTTTGAGTAGGGAAAAAGAATGCAATTTGGCTTTCTCTGGTCCTCTGACAAAAAGAAAATCTAACACCATGTACATACAATATGAAGTGGATATTGCCTTAGTATGGTCAGGTGAATTGCCATTCTTTGCAGTATTAAAATGCTTGCATATACTTAAGCTATGAGTAATTAGATTCTATCACTCATCTCAGACTAGTTGCCGTTTTATTTTGGTTTTCCTTCTGAGAATATTTTTCCTCAACAGATGTTTTTATAAAAGCAAGCAACTGCCAGTTCTTGGATCCCCAGTATAATTGAAGACGTAATGTAATTCTGGAGTAGAAGGTTTTTTTTTTATTTGCTTGGAACTCATGAAACTGAGCACAATGGACTGAGCACAGTTTGCTAAGTTTCTTCAACTGTCTACTGTTCTCAAGTCTAAAGTACTATTCATATGTCTGTCTGAAGAAGAATGTGTGATAAGAGTGAGTTGATAGCGTGGAAATAAAGCATAGTGGTTTTCCCAGGAGATGCCTTTGGTAAAAATGATGGAGGTCTGCCCGACATCTCTCAACCCAAATAGTGACATTCGTGACTTAATAGAAAAGCTTTATTTGCACCTGCTACGATATGTGAAAAGCTGTCATGTACTCTAACAAAAGGGGAAAAGCTGTCAGTATGACTTTTAAGGAATTTGTACTGGGTGAAGAAGCAAAATATTTTGAGCATATGGAATTAGTATTTTTTGCTAATGTTATGATTTTAAATATAAGGTAGGTAGAGCTGTGTTATCTTTCCATTAAACATACTGGTTTTGTAGCTCTTTTGCCAAAATTGCAGGCACTAAGAAAGTATATATTGGAAACTATATAATCAGTCTCTTAGCACATATTGTGTATGTACCTTCTTCAATGTGAAACAGTAAATGGGGCATAGGAAAATGTAAAGTGTAAACAAGTTATCGTAACACTTCAAACTGAAAGTTTAGCATTATGTCATCCTGCTTCTATTGAAACCAAAGGTAAACTTCTACTGAATTCAGTATTGGACCTCAGTACCTCAAAAATCTACTAGAAAATGTGAAATAATTCTTGACGAACTTCTCAAAATAATTCCAGTTTGGGAGTATATCTGCCCTATTTCTCAGAAGTTTGTCCTGAATTTGGTGTTCAGTTGTGACCCACCGAGGCACGGTTACAGTTACTTACATAAAACATGTTGGCTTTGTCTTAGGCTGAAGGTTGACAGTCTTTGAATTTTAATTTAGCTCCAAGTAATGGAGTGAAATAGCATTAGACAGATGTAACGTAACATCTTTCTTTGTCTGTGCTCAGGTGTGTGCTAGACTCCTTTGTTCATGTTCAGTAATGAGATTCCCTTCCCCCACATTCTGTGGACAAAGCAAACAGAATGATTGTATAAATAAACAAATCTAAAGGGAACAGAGTAACCACACCTGTAATGTCTGATCAACCCAGTGCATATTGTTGATATTCCTACTACAGATTTGCACAATAAATATCCTCCCCTTCACTTAAACTGGTTTCCTTCATTCCGTCTGTTTTCCCTCTTACTTTAGCAGATATTGTCAGTTTTAGGACTAAAGCTAAAAAAAGGAGGTACCATTAAAAAAAAAATAATAATAATAATCCTAAAATAACTGTTCTCATTTCTTTAAAAAACGTTTCAGAGTTAAACTTCTAAAATAACCATATTAGGAATAATAGGGACTGGGCTAATTTCCTTTCCCAAGCAAAATGAAAATAATAAACAGCCTCAATGAGGAAAAGTAAACTATCTTGAACTTCTGTATGGTTTTAACTTAAATATTTAAATATAATTTCTTTTCTCCTGCCAGATTCTTTTTAAATCAACCCTCGCAATAAGGAGAGTAAAGGATACTTAAATAGTTATTTATGTACAAGGTTCTGCTTACTCTTTAGAAGACAAATCTATGACTAGGGGTGTGACACTGACTTTTAAAAGTTTAAAACCTCACACTGCAGTGTACATGTATGTCTTTGCATATCTGGATGAATGAATCTCCTTGCTCATTTTAGGCATGCACAGTAGCTGTCTTGCATCAGTGATCTATGTACTCAGTTACTCTCTTTCAGCACCCCTCCCGCAATTCAGTCACTCCAGCAACTGTCTGAATCCTGGATTTGTTACTCCAGGTGAACACTGAAGCTTCCTCTTCACAAAACAAGTGCCTTACAGAGTCAAATGGGGTAGCATATATTGCATCTGTGTACATTCCCATTACCAAAAAAGTGCAACTTACTGCACTTCAGCATTCAGTGACCATCAACTTGCTTTTTTGGGAAAGATCAATAGGAGCAAGTTAACCTCCCTAGATGAGAGGGCAGTAGGTGAGAGAGTGACTATATCCTTCCTCTGAGCATGTATTCTGAACAATTGGGTCGGTTTTACCTCACCCCTTATTCTACAGCTGCTACTGTAACTGTCTGGCACTTTGTCATAAACCAAAGTATTGTGTTGAATTACAATGTTTAGCAGAATTGTCTGTCTTCCATCTGGCCTCATTGTGGATAATTATACCTAATAGTTGTAGACTAGAAAGTAAAAATTATAATGGTAGTGGTATATATTTCCAGTAGAGGCAGAGCGATAAGGGAAAATACAGTTAGAAATAATAAATGCTACTCATTGCTCTAAATTTTTTCGCTGTCAATCTATTTTCCATCACTCCCCTGGAATACTGTCAGTCTTAGAAAAGAAAAGAGACAAATGTTGCAGGGAAAGGTGGCTTGTGTGAAATAGCAATAAGAAACATGTTGGGGGGGGGGGGGAACAAATGTGAAAAGAGACCTGTATTTCTAATGGGTAAGCAAGGAAGGTTTGTAATTGCTTGTTCAAGAACAGTTCATCTGTGTGGGGAAAAATATAACCATATAACACACCAATCACTTTAGAGCTGGGCAAGTGCTAGCTAGTTATGTAAGCAGAAATTGCCTGAGGTCAGAGTGATATTGTAAAAATGAAAGTAAAATGAGGAATTTTGCTTATTTAGAGTAGTTGTTTTGCTTTTTAGAATATGTAAGCTTTTCTGAAATGATTGTGGACTTCAGGGAGAGACAATATTTAGCATAATTTAATTGAGATAAATGAAAATCTGAGTCTTTAGAATAATACATATGTCAGAAGTGCTTCTCCCCTGCACCGGGACTTTCACAGATTTAAGAATACAGAATAAAATTAATAAAGCAATATAACACTAGACCAGCAGAAACAAAATGTAATCATAAAACCAGACTCTTCATCCCTTCACCTAGCCTCCAACTCCTTTCTATCTCCCTCTCCCCAAATGCCTGCAGAGGAAAAAAAAGATGGATTTTGCGGCCTGCTCTGAAAGTTAAGAAATCCTAGCTGGGGGGGAAAGGGACAAAAGTCAGAGAGGCAGTCCCCTCATGAACATGTTATCTTGCCTCTGCCCACCTTATTTAAAGAAAGGGACTGCACCTGTTTCAAAATTGGCTGGGGTTGGGATGGGGGGAAGAGAACTAGCTCAGGAAACTGGCTCCCAAGTAGGAGCTTTATAAGTTTAAAAACAGCACCTTAAATTTCACGTAATTGAAACTGAACGTTTAAAATAAGAACCTATGTTAGCCAGTTACTTTTCTGTGCACCATCTGTGGAGAAAGTTTTTATGAGATGTTGTGATAGAGTAAGTGCTAAACAAAAGTGCATCATGGGGTATTTTTGGGGACAAAAACCTAAAAACATATGCTGCTGGGTACGTTGAGAGACAAGCTTGGACTTCTGGATGGAAAGCTTCAGCCAGACGGCCCATACAGAAATTTGGGGGGTTGAATTTTGAAGACTCCTCAGTTGACTTCTGGGGAGAAGGAACAGGATCTCAGCAAGTTGGAAAGCTAAACTATAGTTGTGAGGGGAAGCACTTCCAGGCTCTTCTAAGACTAGGCTGTACTTAATGGAGTAAAAAGGTTATTAAATACTATGGTCTTGTTTGTTTACTTGGGTTAAATAAAAGTTTCATGAAATTTTCAAACCCCGAAGTCAGAGGCATAGTCAATCAGTAGGTTTTGAAGAGATCTGCAGGGCCTTCAAAAAAAAAAGTTAAGAAAAGCAGCCAAGATCACTTGATATTTACAGTGCATTGCCCTGAGGGGAAGATTAGAGGGTTAAAAAAGGCTGTTCCAGCCACTCAGACACCGGTGTTGAATAAAGGGTATGTCCAGGAAGGGGCAGGTTACGAAACCATCTCTTTAAACTTTTGTGGTTTTTGGACAAGATGTTGTGATTAGCATTCTCTTCCCCATCCGGAAACATTCAGTACAGAAAGCATTATTGCAAAATCCACCACAAAGCGAGGCTACAGAGGTTATCTAAAGGCTGACTCGACCCCCTCCTTTGCTGTTCTTTTCTTCCTCTCCTTGAAGCATGGAACCCTGCTTTCATGTTTTGATTATAGCTTTTATGACCTTACAAGTGTTTCACCACCAGGAAAAGAAGAGAGACTCCCAAGAAAAAGGATGGGAAGAAGGAAATCGGCCGTTAGGGCATTGAAGAATGCTACATGCTCTACCCACTCTCTTGCTACAGGCTCAATATCACCTTGTGCAATGGCTCTTTTCTAAGATGGTCCATATGAGCAAAAGTCCCAGGATTGCTCCCAAAAGCGGGTTTTCTGTTATGACATCACATAGAAATATCCACTCTGACAGGTTTTCCCAATGTTGCCTTACACGAGATTAGAAAAAAATTAGGCCTCCCCTAAAGGTCACTTAAAAAATACTACCCTAAGATGTAGTTCATTTTGAAAGCCTATGTTAATTCTGTGGCTAAGGAAGCCTGTTCATCTTTTATTTATTTCTTGTCCTTTTCACTTTGGACTT